GATTACTTTCTGAAGCAAATCACGTGAAGGCCTCAAACGTTCGGATTCGAACGACTCTTTAGGCCATAAATTCAAAATCAAATCAAGAATTCCCGCTCAAGAGCAAATCCTATATTTTTCACTATAAATACTTGCATATCGGACCACTTCTGGACACCCTTGAGCCGCCTATACTAGTGACTAAGACCCACGAACCATCCACCTTTTGAACACTACTACTTTGCCACTTTCATCACTGATATAGTCTCTAAAATGCTAAAATTATCTCTTACAGAATTTTTCTGTCTCGGTGAACTTTAGTCGTGACAGAGATTTTCAAACTCATTCCGAACGAGGTTCGAATCTTATCATAACAAGAGAGTAGATTCGAGGCCAACATCATCCCGGTTCACTGCTCCCAACAAAGTCAAGTGTTCGTTCTTTTCCTCTTTTCTATTCTGTCGATTCTTCACATTGATCATGATTTGTTGTCCGTTTTATTTGAGTGCTATTAGTTCCAATTTATTTTCCACCCTTTAGATACCAAGTTCTTAGGTAAAGAAAGGATATCCTGTTTAATCAATATATCATAAGGATCATGACTTCAGTTTGAATCTACTACTTTTATTAAGCAATTGTTAATATGACATAAGAATTGTTTTTTCTATTAAAGTGCTATTATGTCTGTTCTTTTCTTTTTCTGCTTTTAAATGATTAAAAAAAAAGAGACTTTATGTTTTAGAGAGCATGCCTATAGGAAAATCACTACAAAAAAATTGTTAAATTGTGGCGGTTAATTTATGGGAGTTATAAGAAACTCCCACTATACATTTGTTTTGTGGCGTTTGCGTCAACCCCTACAAAATAATTCTTTTGTGGCGGTTTATTTGTGGGGGTTGTAAAAGACCTCCACTATTTTCAAATTATGGTGTTTGTTCTAACTTTCACAAAATTATTCATATTATGACAATTTTATTGTGAAAGTTTCTGATAACCTCCAGAAATACAAATTTAATTGTCTGCAATATTTTGCCATTCGATACAAATTGGAGGCCACTAACTCATGCAATATTTAGTCAAATATTTTTACCATCTTTTGAAAATCTAATCAAATTGCACATTTTAGTTAAATTTCTACAAATTGATGCAATTTATGCCAATTTTTAACCCTTGTCATTTTTTGTCTTTTCCCCAACATTCTACCCCTACAAAAAGTAGACACAAAAACAGAGGTTTTCCATTATCTCCATATATTAGTTATTAGTTTTTCTTTTATTGTCTTCAGATATTTTTTTTTGTATTCATCTTTAGCTAATGAAGGATTGAAATACCCCGATAAATAATTTAGACACAAGTAAAAAAAATCAATAAAGGCTATATAGAAAAAATTTAACAAACTAGATAGAGAACGAGAATTTTTTATTCACTTATAAATTCTTGAATATCTCTACATCGAAGCTACCTCTCCACCTTAGAAACCATGTAGCTACACCCCTTTTTACACAAATAGCCGTTCATATTCTTTGTTTACTTTTTCCTAGCCATATACATAGATTATACATTGATTATACACATATAATATAGAAAATATGCATACATTATACCTCCACCGGCGATTTTTAGTTTAAATAATTGGTGAGCGACTATTTGGGTTAATTCTTCATTTATAATACTACAAATCAAACTTGACTAGAATTTAGAAAATTTACTCCTACATGGATTCGATTGTGAATCCTAATTAGATAGAATTAAATAGAGTAACAAATACCAAATCCCAGAGAGCTTAGGAATACTAATTAATCTCGGTTTAGTTTCCAACAGTCTTCCTTAAACCAAGATCTTCAAACTTGAGCATGCCACGAGTAACATCAAACCTTGTAGAAGTCAAATACTTTAGGCTCTCATTAATTTTCTAAAATATGTTGCATCAACAAAATCAGAAGCGCAATCCTTAGTCAATTTCATCTTCTCTTCAAAATTGATCATAATTGATTTGGCTTTACCTATGATACGTCCTTTCAAAATATCAATAACATATTTTTCTTTTACTATGAAATCATCTACTTCTCCATTTGCCTTGTGGTTGGCCTTGTACGCCCATTCAATTCCAATTAGCCGTCCTATAGGTTTTAGAGTAATGTCATCAATAAACATTTCATCATACTCCTTGAAACATGCAATCTCGAATAATGGCACAAAATTTATTCCATTTTCGATATCTGTAATCATGAGTTATTGTGGTTCTGGATCCCAAGCTAGTTCTGCCTCAATCTTGAGCAGATCACCGGAAACTTTCTCTTGGTGTATCATTATACTTCTTTATTACTAGGCCCATCTTGACTATCAAGTAATTTTTCTTGTAAAACACCATCCTCTTTCAGTGGTGCACCACTTGCAACTAAATCATCTATTTTAACTTTTCCTTCGATTCTTGCTCCTCTATTTTTTAATTCTAACCTTCTTGATTTATTTTCACAAAATTTGTTGCCTTTTTTGTAGGTTGATCATTGATCTCCTTCAGTAGCAATACCTCCTCCACTATTTTATATCTCTGTTGATTAAGGGACATCTAATATGTCACGAAATCACATTCTAAATCATCAAGTCTTATGGTGCTAAGTGTAACAACCCGATCGGTCGTTTTGAGCTCTAGCACGTCGTTTGGTAGTTTGAGGTTATGAGTAGTTTCACTTCAGGTATTATGACTTGTACGCATGGTCAGAATTGAATTTCGGGAAGTTCAGAGTGGATTTGGAAAGAAAATTCTCATTTCGGAAGCTTTAAGTTGAAAGAATTATGTAAGGGTTGATTTATAAGTAAACGACCTCAGAATCGGGATTTAAAGGTTCTAACAGGTTTGTATGATGATTTTAGACTTGGGCATATGTCCGGATCGGATTTTGGATGACCCGGAACGTTTCGGCGCCTATTGTGGAAGTTGGCATTTTGGAAGAATTCCATAAATTTGGGTTGAAGTGCATTTCAACGCTATCGATGTCCGATTGGGATTCCGAATCTGTAAATATCTCTGTATGGTGATTCTGGTATTGGGAGCGCGATCGGAAGTGGATTTGGAGGCCCGTAGGTCATTTTGGGGTCATTTGGCTTAAGTTAGAAATTTGAAGGTTTTTGGAGAAATTTGACCGGAAGTGGACTTTTTGATATTGGGGTCGGATTCTGATTCCGGAAGTTGGAGTAGGTCCGTAATGTCAAATATGACTTGTGTGCAAAATTTAAGATCAATCGGACGTGATTTGATAGGTTTCGACATCGAGTGAAGAAATTCGAAGTTCTAAATGGAGTGTGATTCGTGATTTTAGCATTGTTTGATGTGATTTGAGGCCTCAAGCAGGTCCATATTATGGTTTGGGATTGGCTGGTATGATTGGTCGGGGTCCCAGGGACCTCGGATGGATTCTAGGTGGTAATATACGACATTGTCCAGGCCTCGTTTAATTACTTTGCATGCAAGATTTGTTAGATACATGCAGTTTGACCTTGATGGCAAGATAATATCGCACTCACAATCCAATTGTCTTTTTTTTCCAATTGCATAGTTGTGTTACTCATCAATGTTGTGCCTTCTAGAGTTTTCAAATTCTTCGTTAATAATGGACCATAATCCAACAATATTTAAAAAATTCTTTATCTGTTAATACCAAGTTTCAAAATTATTTTTACCATCAAACACAAAAATATGAGACAACCAAGTGATAGAATATCCATATATTTTTAGGATCTTATACCTGCTTTGACAGATCTCACATAGACTCCGATACCAATTTAAAGGATTGAAATACCCCAAAAAATAATTTAAGCACAAGCAAAAAATTCAACAAAGGCTATACGGAAGAAATTTATCAAACTAGAGACCAAACATGGTAGGAGGCTTTTTTATTTATTTATAAACTCTTGAATCTATCTACATCGATGCTATCTCTCCACCTAAAAAATTATGTAGCTACACCCCTATTTATAATACTAAAAACCAAATTTGACTGGAATTTAGAAAACCTATTCCTACATGATTCCAACTGTGAATCCTAATTAGACAGAATTAAATAAACTACTCCATCCGTTTCAATTTATGTGAACTTATTTGACTGGGCACAAAGTTTAAGAAAAAATGAAGACTTTTGAAATTTGTGGTCATAAACAAGTCAGAAAGAGGCCCAGGATACTTGTGTAGTTATAAAAGCTTCACATTAAGGGTAGAATTGTAAGTTTAAGCTAAATTGTTACCAAATTTAGAAAGTGGTCATTCTTTTTTGATAGACCAAAAAGGAAATTGGTTCACATATACTGGAACAGAGTGAGTAACAAATAGCATAGACAATTTAGGAATACTAATTAATCTTAGTTTAATTTTCAACTTCTAAAAACTCAAAGACTTTTTTTCCTCTCTTTATTTGTCACTTCTCAATATTAAGATATTGATTTTATTGTGGATGAACTTTTTTCACAATTTTTAAGAATATGATACCAGTAGCTAAATAGTAGAATAAAAAAAAATATTGTTAAACCTTTTTATAACAGCCTCATATGTCCATATTTTTTGGCCTATATTAACGATTAGTTGTTATACACCTATATTAACATTTAAAATTTAGATCTTATTTGGTTGTTATAAACAAAATTACCCAAAAAATAGGTTTTTCAATTTTTTATATTTAAAAGTTAAAAAATATATTTAGATTTAACATCTCAAAAGATATTCATATTTCATTAATTGAAATTTTAAATAATTAGTACGATATCAATACATCCGTAACTAGTTGTTACATTTATTTTATCTAGGGATTTTAGCAATTTTATTATGTTCAAAAATATTATTTTTATTGTTGGAAAAATACTTAATTTTTTCAAAAACTTATTTGTTACCTTAAATTTCCCTTTTTTTTGCTCGAAAAGTAAACGCGGTAAGTTCTCCCTCCTTTTCCAAAATATTTCCCCAATCTTTCCCTCTTTTAATTCCATTATTATGCCTCTAGCCCTAGGTTTTTCCTTTTCAACACTTCGGCTGAACTGCTTCTTCTCTAGTGCATTGCTTCCCTTCAGATGCGCTCTCTCGCAATTTTCTGTCCATATTAGTTACATTTTGTAAGTATTATTCTTCTTCTCAATTTATGGCTCCTGCTATGATTTTTGAATCACAGATTATGTCTTTTGCGTTGCTCCATTGTTTCAATTTAAGTAATTTTTTATTAAGGTATTTTCAGGCTAGGAATACGATTTATTGGTATTGCATTGTATCTTGGGAATTTCTGAAGTGAAGTATTCATTTGGGTGAATCAACTTCAGAATGTCACTGCTCGTCTAAAGGTAATTTTTTTTCTTTTTTTCTTTTCCTCTTAATTTCATTTATTTTCTTTATCTCAGTAGCAGTAGAATTTGGGTTTTCAGTTGTAGTTATTGCTTGAACCAGTAATGAAACCCTTATGGACAATCTAGCTTGAAACTTATTCTCTTTTTTAAAGAGTGTTGATATTCGAGGAAAGACCATTAAATGTTTTGCTTCAGGCTATAGACTACTCAGTGTTGTAATAAGAAGCTCCTTTATTTAAGGTAAAGCTTTTCCAGATTCCAATTAGAATTTAGTTTTGTTGTGTGATGTTGAAATTGATTGACCCATAAATTAATATAATATGGGAGACATGAGCGGCTCAAGTATATGCAGAGCCTAAGACCAAAGTTTAATATGAGGCCTATTTTTTTAAAAGAAAGTTATAGCATACGTTTTTACTTGAAGTATATTCTTCTAACTTTTTGAGATACAATGTTGTTAATAATATTTTTTTATAATTGATTTTCTATAATTGTCTTTATTCAATTGATAATATAACCAGCTCATTTAATCTTTCTTGAGATATTGTAAATATTAGATAATATTTTATAGAGCAATAGAAGTATAGAATTATTAGAAGCTTAAAAGTATTGTTGAACAGTGGAGCTAATGATATCTTGTAGAAAGAAAGTGAGTAATGAAATATTGGAGAAAACAAGTGAGTAAGAATATTAAAAAGAAAGAAAGAAAATATATAGGGGTTTCTGAAATATAAAGATATTGGAGAAAAGAAAGATTGACTTGGACATATTAAGAAAGAGAGAGTGAATTTTTTTATACATTATCTAATGAAGGAGTAAAAGTGAAACATTGAGAAAACTATTCATCTATCATTTTGAGTATGTCAAACTATTACTTTATTTACATATCTAAAGAGCTCTATTTCCTCTTATATTAAAAACTCTAATTTTGTATTAAAAGTACTAAATATCCTTTTTTAAATACCTATAAGCCTATTCGTCTTAAAAAATGCCCCCATGCATATCTTTTACTTGCTATGGTGACAAATTTTTCCTTCTCTAGCTCATACTTTAGTAGTTTAGTTTTTCACTTTCCTTAAAAAATGAATTACTGCAAATAAAAACTTCCTCTAGTAATATGTCTTGCATCATATCATTATTGCAGATGTGCACGTTTCTAAGATTACTGGACATGGTGTAACTTCAAACCCGCTATCAGGTAAGTTGACTCATTTTGTTGTAAAAACTAGTTTATGTACGTCTTGCATAAGTTTTTGAGCATATTTTATATATGCCTTCAAATTTGAATAATTCTAGCATACAAAGATCATTAGGCAGGTAAATTATTTGTATGCTATTGATGTTTTATTTATTTGGAAAAAAGAAAATATACTCCAACTTTCTATATAATTATTCGAGATTGAGGGTGAAGAACATGAGCCTTACATCGAAGTATTTCAAGCATAAATATGGGGTACTATGTAGATGATGTTTTCAATTAAGGATGAAGTATTTTTAGTAAACCTAAAGCTAAGAGATTTGTATGATACAAAAGAAGTTATGGAAGATGAAGGTTATGAGAATGAGCCATACTAAGAGTTGGGATATAACTAGCTACAGACCATCTAATTGATGATGTAGTCGAGGCAAATACTGCTACTTATTTAGCAACAAATGCATATAAATCCGAATAAATTTTTTATTTAATATGGTATTTTATTTAAAGGTAACAATATTGCATCTTTAAGTAGTGCTTATTTATTTCGTTTATAGGTATGTTTAGAGATGATATTCATATTTGGTTTAAAGCTATGTTCAGAAATGGTATTCACATTTGATTCACCTTATTTTTTATATCTTGCATTCGTATGTGTTCCCATAAGTGGATCTCTTACTGTGGAGTAATTCTAGGGACAAAAACTTTGATGAAGTCAACTTGATTGAATGCTAATCTATGCATATTTTGGTTTAACTGATTGATATATTGTTATGATGGCATTGAGTGGTAAGTTATGCTTGTTAACTCATCTTCTAAATCTTTTCACATCTTTTCCTCAGGTTACATTAAGTAACTAAGAGTAATTTGTTATATATTCTTTTGTAGTTTTTACTGATAATACAGATACTAGTAGAATTCATGCCTTAGAAAAAGTTTTGCGCGTTTTAATTTGTTGCTTCTTTTGTTTGAAGTTGGATCCAACAGCTTTTAACATGCTTGGTTTGTTTAACTAACTACTCCTATCAGACCACTCCTATTTTATTCAGTTCATTTCTTCTGCTTCAATTTCCTAGTGTTATTAGCCTTCAGTTTTGATGCAAGTTTGTTAATCATAAGTTTGTTAATCATTAGGATAGATTACGGCTTATAATTTATTTGTTTGATTCTAAAAGTTAGAAAGCTTATAGTGGTTAACTTATGATTTATTAGTTACATTATGATTTTCGTGAATATATGGCAAGAATTTATGCTATCAAGTAAATAGTTTGTGGATGTAAGTGTTGTGATGATATCCAAGGAAATAGCTTTGTACTTTAGCTCTTATTCATGTTGAGTATCTAACAACTTCAGTTCAATGCTATTGTTGGATCAAGTAACAGATTTATTTGTAAGAAGAATCAGACCTTTCGTTTATTTATATACCCAGATCTTCCTTTTAGCTTGTTGGCAAAATTTTATTTCTTTATAAGTTTTTGATCAAAATTCTCTGTTTCAGCATGTGATGTGTCGAGTGAGCCTACTTTATTCGGTGGATGTGAGAATATGATCAGGTGACAACAATACAAATCGCCAAGAAAATACTTAGCACATCTGCATATTTACTTATTAGGGGCAACTGTAGAATGTATAATGTTTAAATTATCAAATATGTGTTTTTATAACTTTAGTGTGATATGAATTTGAATGTGTTGATGTTTGTTACTATAGATATTCTTAATGGAATTGGATTTATGTTGTATGAGTTATTGAGTTTATTTTTTGAATCCTTGAATTAAAATTTTCCACTATTGTGGCAGTTATAAGCTGCCAATGATTATTTTTTTTAAAAGATTGAGATCAAATTGTGGGGGTTTATAACCCTCTTACATTATTTTTTTTAAAAACACAGAGATCATATTTTGGGTGTTACAAACCGCCGCCAATTGCCTTTAAAAACCGCCACAAATTAAAAATTTATATTGTGGCGGTCGTCGTGGAGGTTTT